TTGATTCCGCGGAACAGATGTCCCAACAACAACAACTGGACCTTGTGCGCTTCCGAAATCGACTCCGGGCCCTTCCTGTATTATCCGTCAATCAGAGTCTCGACCTACTTCATTTCGTTAATAGGAATGCACACAGCACTTGCATCATACGCCGTTTAATGTTTATTATCTTTGCCTTGTGAACGTCAATTACGAAAGTTGCGGTTTATTATCTCCATCGTAAACCTCCAGCGCTCCAAATTGACGCCCCGCGACCCCTGAGCCTCTTCCCGAATTGGTAAACGTGCACTTGAGGAGAAAGGTCACACTTGAAATAAACGCGGGCACCCAATCTAAACAGGGCTCATTGCCCAACGATGGCTTCTTTTGAAGTTCGTAATTGCGTAGCGGTGTTTATCGCCGGCTGTAGGAAACATTTACAGAATGAAAATTTTACGACGTCGCTGCAGTACAAGAAGAAAATAAATAACGTTTTAAGGCCCGGTAATCATAATTATCTTTGTGTTTAATTTACTCATAAACTTGAGGTATATTGAATTATTTATTAGATTTACCCTGCATATAACGTGAAACGACCATAGTTCGCGCAAACTTAGAATTCTGACATTTCTACACGCGGCTATTGGCCAATTTTCCTTTCAAGGGGATAAGTATATTTGTTTTGTTTCTTGAGGATATAATGAAAATAACACAACACGAATAGAATAACCTCTGCTTCTATTAAGAATTGTACGGTCGTAATTGTTGCAAACATTATTAAGGGTTAAATAAACATTGTACCGTGGAGGGTAGAAGGAAAAGACGAAGAAGAAGAAGATAGAAAGGAGAGGAGACGGCAAAATAAAACCTCCAACAACAAAGAAATCCATGGTGTAATGTAAAAAAGTTATTATTATACAATCACCTTTAACGTTGAAATAAGCATCTGGTTTTTCTAGGAAGTTGTTGGTTTTAGTTTTTTGACCTACAAATAAATTCCATGAAATTAAACGAATTTGACCTATTTGGTTCTTTTGGGAATAGTACACGGATAACGTTGATACAATTTACATGTAATCTACAAAGTTATATGCAAATATCTACACTTCAAGAATAAGGCCCTTTACACACGTATCGGGTAAGAGCCGGTCAATTATTCAATGGTATAAAAAAGGGAGAAAACACCTACCGAATCTTGAAAACTCTCCGCTACCGTCCGTACTCTATTATCATTGTTAATGATATACAGGCTGTTTCACGCAAACCGTTACCTAACAGCATTTCGACCTCTATTAATAATTCAAATCTGAAAATTTGCATGCCAACATAGTTTTTCATGGATAGAATGAGCCGGCGCTCCGTCAAGTTGAAACCAGTAGCTTTCCCCAGGGTTTCCTACTATTACATCCTTCTACTAACGCGTTTATTTCAAGGCTTCCTAAGAAAATTATGCATATAACGGTCACAATTTTAGAAAATCTTAAATACGAAAACCATAACAAATCGGTATAGGGAATGTAATAAGTAGAACTTCTTTTCCACATTTGAAAGTGCAAAAAAATAAAGTAGGACTAGGTTTCATTTGAAAAAATTAACTTTTTAAGGTTTGATGTTATTAAACACCATTAACACCCTATAGAAAAGGGCCATCAAAATCATTCGCATGTAGCATCACGTCAGTATTCTGTATTGCTGATTTTGAAAGACTTTGAAATTCAAGCCAATAGTCATAGGTACAGGGCGCTCTAGAAAAGCAGTCAAACGTCAAAACTTTTGAAAAATCTTGAATTACTGGAAAACCTTTGATGCTAGGTATAGGGAAATGTGGTATCAAACGGCGTAGATTTTCATGTATAGATTTCGAAGGGTGTTCTATTTCAAATAAGAAAGTTGCTATCCACTTTCGGTACAACCAGAAGTGAAACGATCATGATAATATTTTCCTTCGATAGATCATAAAAAGATATGGTCTGAATCCTTTAGGTAACGGTTTGAGTGAAACAGCCTGTATACGGAAAATGCTTGTTGTTTCCAATTCGTTTGAGAATTGGGGCGTACTGGGTTCATTTATTCCAATAGATTCTGAGATAATTCCGGTGTTATTTCCAAAGACTGATTTCCTGCGAAAAGTGAGTGCGATCTTCCCGAAATAAGTACCTATGGAGTTTTGTTATCTCAGTTGTTGAAAAAATGAGGATCTTTGTAAATTCTTTGCAGAGGCCAATTCTCCGATAGTAATTTTCTTCGTCCAATTCTTGTATGGAAAAAAACTTGTTCTTTTTCAGAATTTGATGAACTGACACCGTAGATACATAGACAATTTTGCGACCGTGGGAATTGATGACGTAGAATTTGCAGCTCAATTTCCCACGCTGTAACGGGAGCTCGCTAACGTCTTTACATTTTTTAGGTTTTATTTGCGCGAATAGTTCCTGGATACGGCCCTGAGTGTATTTGCGTGTGAAAGCTTGGTTGACGACAGCTTGTCGCGTTATAAGAAAAAAGTAATGGGATGTATACGTGATCGCTTTGATGAGTTTGATCGGTTTCGTTTAGATCCGGGGAACTGATGACTCCAGAGTCCTGGGAGGAGAGGTTAAAAGCTCTTAAACACCCTTAACGTTTCTAAAAAAAGCTTTAATAGAATAATAAAGGCACTAAAAGATTCCTCCTGATGACCCTCGAACACTCAGGTTCGTAAAAAGTGTTGAAGGTTTTTACTGTATAAACCTATAAACCTTCAACATTTTTCAAGATAAATGAATCTTATGAATGAGTCTTTTGGCCAAAAAATTAAGTCTCTTAAGATACTTGGAAACTCTCAGGGGCTCTAGAAATCTCTAAACTAAAGGCTCCTGAAGATGATTGCCACAACTTGCTTGGAATTTTCAGAAAAATGCGTTAATAGTTATTTATTATACAAGACGATAAAGCGATATTTTACCATTGAGTGAAACCTGTTTTGACCAAAATTGTATCAAATTCATCTCTTGAACATCGAACTGATGCCCCAACGATCTGATGTATAAATAACGATGCGAACATATTTTTACTAAAATACACGTGGTGAAAATAATGCGGTTACATTTTGCTCGAAAACTTTGTTAAATCACAGAGATGATCGAAGGACCATAGCGACTAATTCAATAATTTCTAGCAATTGATTCTTCCCGTTCCCGATTCACGTTTGTTCCTGTTGACCGTATCCGTCTACCAAATTTTAACCCGTTCTGACACCGGATGCTTTTAAAGAGAGATATCATAAACCCGGACAGACGGACGGACAACAATGCAAAACTATAAAGGGGGGACCCATAATTAAAGCTTCGTGTTTTTTGCAGATCTGGCATCTGAGCCCAGAAAAATCTGTTGTTTTCCTAACTACCCGAAACAGTCTAACACTCGCCCTTCTTTTTTTTTTAAATTTGGCTTTGAAAATAACCACATTGTCAAAGAGAAAAGAAATTTTAATATGCACCTAGCAATGGAATCTATCAGTGATGTACTGTAAATTGGTAGCTAAATCCCTACTTAAATGTGTACCAGAAGTTTGGTCTGAGCTAGCAGGTTAAATACCCATAAACTAGAAGTAAAAAGCACTAGCGTACAATGTTTGAACGAAATTGGTAAACGCACCTCGAAGATTTCAGATCTGGATTGACGAACGAATTTTCATCACTGGCCTTTTCTAATTTGCTGTGCTCCGGAAAGTCTAGAAGGGTACTGCTCTAAGTAATTTGGCACAAAACTTGTTTATTTTACTAGCCATAATTAACACATAGAATTTCACAATATTCAACAATGAACACAAACTCTACCAGTGTTTGTATAACGTCAACATGGAAATCCACTTCACTTTAATCTCTTAATAACAATTTTTGATATAAATAGGCGTGATCGTGATTTTCGTAAGAAAACCCCATACAACTCCATTTTATGATATATCATGTAAGTAAAAAGTTGTTTATGATGCACTGGAATGCACGGTATATTCCTCGGTGTATTCCCATTGGCCATTTTTAGATATGTACTATCTATTGATAACACACTGCATAAAAATCCGCTGCAAACATTTTGGGCGTTGGCTGCTTTCTTTACATAACATAAAAAAAGTTCGCTTATTGTTCTTATTAAAATGTCTCAATCAATACATTTTGATCAGGTAGTTAATTAAAATTGGGAAGGACACTGCTTAATAAGAAAATCATGTGCGACGTTGTAAATTAGCTTGCATACAATTTATCTGAATAAGGAATTTCCATTATGAACGTTCGCGCCAGCATTAATATTGTACGCTTCCTGATATTCCCATGCCTCAGTCATTTTCTATTTGTATAACCTACTACTAACACTACAACAACTGCCATTGTATATTGTATATAAAATTAGATTTAAATTGATAAGGGCGGTAGTAGAAAGCGAAGGAACTATTACCCTTTAAAGCGTTTTCGAGCTTTAAACAAAATGTTATTACATTTGAAACTTAGTAGACGTGCCTGGACACACAAATGACATCTGGAATAAAGAATATTGGGCTTTTTGAGTTTTATTCTAAAATACGGTATTAAAGGAATTTGTTTGTATAGTATTGTGTACAGATATTTCCGCCGGGAACAGTCAATATTTCGTTCTGATTAAATTGTCGAAAATAAATTGAATCAATTACTTCCTCGTTGCTTCCACCATCGAATTACCCACCGAATATCGCGAAGTATAATCAATCATAAAGCCGTACAAATTTTTTCTGGGCGAAGAAGGGAATAATTTATTTGCCTCGTATAATAAAAAGAGTTTTTCGTATGCTTGCGAAATATTTGTGTTTTTTATTATAGCGTAGTTTTTAGCTATTTGAAAGTCAAAATCGATTTGTGCACAAGCCAAGTGGCACCTCGTAATATAATTTATTTACAGATTTTTTTCTTTGCAGTAATCCTGGCGCGAGTAAAAAGAGAATTCACCCACAACGATACGCGTGTATACAAAGTTCGCATCCGAAAGGAATTCAAAATGACCGAGAAGGCTCAGGTGGCGTTAAAATCGGGGCGGCTATTAACGTCGCTCTGGGATAGCATGTGTGGAGTCAAACTGGAAACTGGCAAAGTGTACGCAATTGGTGGAAGAATTATAAGCTTAAAGGCCCACATTAACATGTGCGGACTTGTAGAGAAGTGGGACGAATTAAGCCAACGACAAAGGAAGGGCTTGAATCGCATGTACAAGCAAGGGTGCACATGCGGGATTAAAAGATGTCGACCACCACATTGTCAAAAAACTCGAGATTTTTGCACGTGGTCCACATTCAGCTTTGATAATCAAGTCGATTGCCAACGAATGCAGGTATGTGTTACAGTAGGAACTGGAACTTTGTTTCAATTATCCTTCTTGATGAAGGGACGGTTTCAATTACAATCCGCTTAGGTGTATACGGGAACGTTCAAATTTAGGGGTACGGTAGATTTAATTAATAACGACAGCTTTGTTTTTGTACGTGTAAGATAGCTAAACACTAAGCAGCTTTGTTCCAGAGCGGAACTGAATTTTCACACTGCAAAATTATAGCTATTTGAAGCTCTAAATCTGTTACTGAATTAATTCTGAGCATCAGGAACCTTTCTATGTCAAACAAATGGTAAATAGCAACAACAATAAATGCGAGTAAGGTATTATTCATTTATCGCCCACCTTCTGGCAAAAGAATTAGGTAATTAGTTATTTTGGTGACTACGCTATATTAATAAATTTACCTTAGAAAAATAAAGTCATAAACTGAGAACCTAAAATCTCAGAACTTCCATTGCCAAGTGTAAGACTCATTTCTACAAAAATGGTAGCTTGACTTAAATTATTCTTTTGTTACAGGGTATCTGTCTACGTTCTGCAACAGATAAATGTCACTGGGCCAGGAATAAAATACAGACTGCATGCATGCGAAATTCCACTAAACCACGCAAATCTACGACAATAAGACCGCCACTTACCATCTCCTTGTGGTCGGGGTAGAATGTCTGCTCGATGAGGGGGAAAGCCTCTTTTCCTAACCTCCTCTGAAGTTGCACCAAATGTCCAAAAACCCAAGGTTTATCCTATACAGCCAGATGTTATATTGTTGTCTATTGTTAATATTTATTGTGTTTCGTAAATGTTAGGTACTTGACTGAATGTGTTTGTCACAAGTAAAATATAATTAAGAGAAACCGGTAATTAAAGTGAACGTAAACGGGCGACAAACATGGAATTTTCATTAAATTTGCGTTTGTGTCAAAGGGACGAGAGGGATTTTCAGGGTTGTTACTAAACTTACCTGGAAGTTGTATATGGCGTTCAAATTGTTAATGCTCGGTACGCCACCAAACTTGAGCGCTAAGAGGAGCCTTTTGTGATCTTCTCCTGCATCTTTTAAATTCTGGCGAATCTGTAAAACAATAAACGATACATTGTTTAACTTATATTTGTGTATTTTCATGTTTTGTATAATACCTACTTAAATTTAACAGAATAAGTTTTTTGTTATATATTTTTATAAATTGTATATGTATTTTCTTTATTTTTAAATAAAAATGTGAAAACAGGAGCGTACTATTTCCATCGTCTTGATTTTGAAGTAAACGGAATAATATTCGTTCTACCCAACACGCAGGTGTAAACAATGCCGTAGAGTAGGTAGATGTCCATTATTACTACGTACTATTGTTACCATTCTTATTATTGGAGCCACGAAGGTTGGTCAAATTACCAAATTTCATAAATGGTCAAATCGGATAATAATACTTGTACTTTCTTCTGTTTAGAATTAATCGCAAGTAGTTATGTATGTGTTTATAATTTTTGTATCCAGACCTTCCATTTTATTCCCCACCATGCCGCCGGAAGGACCTAGTGTAATCCCAAATCTTGGATGTCATTCATACTATAAATTACGAAAGCACTGAACTGGCAATACAATACAGTACCACTACCAGCGTTGATTGATCAATCAACGGTACTAGGAAATAGCTTCCTAAGATTTTCTCAAAACACCCTTCAAATATGAAATGTCACCGAAGTGAATTAAGAAGGATAAAGTCATCGCTTTCCCTAATGTGCGACTGCGATGCAAACACCCGGTGAAATAATGCCCGATTATATTAATGGTATAATGGCAACATATTTGATTTATTCGTTCTCGTACTAGCCATCAATTTGTTGAATTTCAAGTCACAATTTGTTATTATTCACATTTTGCATTAAATGCTGATATCTGTTTATTTAAGCATGGCAATAGTTTTAACTACCGTTACCAGAACGGAATCATCTTTTTTGTTATGATTTATACCCACCTGTGATGGTGATATATATTATTTTTTTCACTACTAGCGTCTGATGACATGATTATTAACCTTTTTTCCACTTGTAAAGTAGGCTTTCTCGGCATTTGTTCAAAGTGGTTAATAATTTTTTATTATTAACTAGTAGTCAATAATGAGAACTGTCACGCTGTCACTTTTAGAAAACACAACCCGAAATTTCGCTCAATGAACGTTTAGACAAGTTCTCTAAAACGAATAATTGCCACCATTCGCAATTTCCAGAGAAATTACATACCTAAAATTATCACATTTTGAAAAAATTCGAACGAAATTACTCTTTGAAAAATCTCAATGACAGAACAAAATACGGCCTGTTTGACTTGTACTTCCACGTACTTGATTGACATGTTAAATTAAGAAACAAACAATTCTGTCCAACCGTTAACTCTCTTATCAATATAATATGTTAATTTAGAGGATTTCAAGTGCTAGTAGTGAAAAAAATAGTATATATACCACGGTAGAGAAGTCTATTATTGCCTTCGCACCTTACACCCCTCGGCGCAAGCGCCTCGAGATGTAATCTTGGTGCTCAGGCAATAATAGTGGACTTCTCTACCTTGATATATAATGTACTATTATCGATTTACGCATGTATTTAATGTGAGTATCTTGCCTTGTGCGATTCTATACCACGCGAAGAAAGCACATTATATACCTAGTTTCGATTTTTCGCTGTACTTTTCCGATAGAAAACACATTATGATGCAGTTAGCCAGTTACCAATTTACAGCGTTCCGAATTTTAAAGTAAAATAAAAATGTTATTATCTATTTTTGTAAATGACAATTCAACTCATGTATAAAAAATCGCATAAGCCGCAGTGCAATTGTCACTTTGACAGCGGCAAAAGTTACCTGCAACTTTTCCAGGGATAAATGCACTAGTGGTTTTTTCACTTATTCATTTTCGAACCAATTATCGCATTACCCTTTCCCATATGATTAGTATGACGTCTGTCAATAATTGATTAGTTTGGTGAATTTCTTGCTCGTTAAATTGTCCTGCCGAATTACACTCGAGGCTTGTATTTAAACTGAGTAAATTTGGGTTGCTGCAAATCAAATCTGTTTCCTTTTAGCAATTGAACTCGAAAAACTGTCAACCTAAAAATGCTCCCCCTTCGGTGTCGCATTTTTATTAGTTGACAGTTTTTCTCGACTAATTGCTAGGCAACAGATTTTCATTACCTTAACAACCCAAATTTACTCGGTAAAATACAAACCTCTTGTGCAATTATAAGTGAATAAAATAGAGAGGAAAAATGTCATTTTTCAAGAGCAAAAACACGCCATTGACCCCAGAACAAAAAACTGCCATTGACATTTTTATCGGCCCTTCGATTGACTTTCGGACAATGTTGCCAAACTTCTCAGTATGGCTTGTAAGTATAGACGGCTGTGGTATAACACAACGTAGGGGTCCTATTCGTACAATCGTACGACCATTGTATATTTATGGTACGACCGAGTCCTACGATACTTAACAGGCCGGAGCGCTCAAAAAAGTCACGTGACCTTAGGAGTCAGTTCGGGACACAATAAATACATTACGGCTTATGGAAAATCCGTACAATTTTTTTACTCCGAATCCGTTTAAAATAGGGCCAATTTCAATGAGAGCTGGTCAATGATACAGACAATTAAATTATAGTGTTTATTAATTTTTAGTAACACTGGAAATAGTTAATTTTAAGGTTTAAAGTCTTTGAAGATCAAACGACGATAGTAAATCCGTGTTTTTCCATATTTCCACCGTCATATTTCTGTTTCTAGGAACGATATCATTATAATTCTTTCGGTGTCTTAAACTGGAATGATATGCGCCTCCAATTAGGCGTATATAAGGCCTTATCTGGTATTAGCGTAGATTTAACACGCTCTACAAAATCGCACATTAATTATCCGCGCAGAGCAAAATTCACCATGCGAGAAACTTTTTCTTGTTAGTACAATTGTATCACATATATCGAATGAATTGTGACCAAAGGACACAAAAATGTCTTTCAGGAGGAATTTTTAAGAAATGGTCTTTTGTTTCCTTTTTTCAGCACTTTTAGTAACTTCTGGAACATGCGAAGGCGCAATGGAAATTATTAGTTTTTAAATAATTATTACTAATCGACTTTCAAATAATGTTTGTAATATTTAGAGAACCATTAAACTCAAGGATGCTATATAATCTAAGGATTGCTCGATCACTGAATTTTTTCGCCGCGTGTAGTGACGTCACTGGCGGACCCAGACGCATTTCATTTGTATTTTATATTATGTAAGATTAAGAGCTCCTTCTCACGATGCGTTTGTGAAACGCTGCGCAGAGTGGAAATTTTCTTCGAAAGAAAGATACGGTTATGCGGAAATCCATTCCTCCCGATGAGACATTAGCTTTATTTCTCAGATGAGTAAGAACTAAAGTTTATAAGTCTCTTCTGTACAATTTGTGTTATAATTTTGGAGTTTGCCACACCGTGCTACAATGGTTTTTACCACACAATATGAAGTGTTTAGCCTAATACAGCTTCGCCTTCCTTCAACGGTCGAACTACAACCCCCACATGTCAGTAATAACAAACTTAGCTTTATATACAAAATATCAGTACACAAATATGTACGCTCTTTACTAAGGCACAAGTAAATCAACTCTCCTCAAACCAGACACCATTATTTAAAAAAACGACGCCCCTTCTTGGTACGTGCGCTTTTGTTGCGTGAATGCGCTTCTGAAAAGAGCTTTGTGCTACTTGTGGCGCTGCAAATCGCACCGTGTGAAGGGGTCACGCTACCAGTCTCTTCAAAAAACGCCTGGTAAGAAGGGGCTCTAATACGTCCAAATGGATGTTATATAGGTAGGTATTTAAATTAGAAACACTTGTCATTCATCGTCTACAAGTCTACAAATTCTTCGGTTTTTCGCATACTCAAAATGTCGTGAACCCATTTCATCCTGCGTTTTTGGTTTTTTTACTCTTCATCATCCATGGAAATTGCAGCTAAATCAGTTTATTTCAACTTTGTCCATCTAAAATAACGATTTCTCGACGTTCTTCTTGACACTGGCTAAAATGAGCGCCAGTTGAGTGTAAAATGTGAATACTACCCCAAATTGTTATTACAGTCCAATACTGCACGCCGGCGTCCAAGCATTTTTGTTGCAATATAGCGAACACATACACACAGTTATAACGCTAATGCATAAACGTTGACAACTTAGCAAATTATAACTGTCAATTCTGACAGCCAGGTCCGTTGGTGACGTCACATATGACTTAAACTCGGGCAACATTACAAGTATAGGGATCGAGCAATCCTTATTTATATAGCATCCTTGCATTAAACTCACAAAATTAAAAATATTATATACAGGGTAGTCAAAAGTATGGAATATATCTTATATCTTCGTTAATATTACTTTTACCTCGAGTTTTACATTATAGCTTCCGGAAAATTCGTGTTTAGAACAATTGGCTCTTGTAGAATTCTTTATAATATTAACTCAGAGTATAAAAAGAATATCCATACTTTGAACTAATCCTGTATGTAATTTTTTTAATTTTGTAAGTTTAATGGTTCTCTACATATTACAAACACTATTTGAAAGTCCATTAGTAATAATTATTTAAAAAATTAATAATTTCCATTGCGCGTTCGCGTGTTCCTGAAGTCGCGCTATTTACTAAAACTGCTGAAAAAAGGGAACAAAAGACCATTTCTTAAAAATTCCTTCTGAAAATCATTTTTGTGTCCTTTGGTCACAATTCATTCGATATATATGCTACAGTTGTACCAACAACAACAAAATTTCTCGCATGATGAATTTTGCTCTGCGCGGATAATTAATGCGCGATTTTGTAGGGCCTGTTAAATCTACACTAATGCAAGATAAGGCATTATATACGCATAATTGAAGGCGCATATCATTGCAGTGAAAGAATTATAATGATATCGTTCCTAGAAACAGACATATGACGGTGGAACGGATTTACTATCGTCGTTTTATCTTCAAAGACTTTAAACCTTAAAGTTAACTATTTCCAGTGCTACTAAAAATTAACAAACACTATAAT